GCTCAGGTGTGTCTGCACTCACAGCCCTGTGGACACAGGTGTGATGATGTCACTGATGACAGGTGCATTTCTACTGTCTGCCACATACACCACAGAGACACATAAAGACAACTGAGACAGTTTATTTAGTTTTGGTGTTTTAGCTACAGCTAAACAGATTTTAGCATTTAGCTGCTGTTCTGTTCTGTTTTGTTAATTTTAGCTACAGTTTTGCAGTTTTCTTTTGATGTCCTGTTTAGCTGAACTGAACGTGTTTTTGTTGTGTGTGTTTTGTTAATTTTAGCTGCTGTTCTGTTTGAACAGGTTCAGCAGTCATTCGGCTGTAGAGGTTTTAGCTGTTGTTGTGTATCTTTGCTTGGTTTTTATAACGCAGCTTCTGTTCTCGATGGTTCTTCTGTTTAACCTTAAAAACACACGTTTGTTTTCCTGAGAGCAGCGCCGCTCCTGCAGCAGCCGAAGTTCTCCAGCTGCAGACCAAACACGGCAGATATTTAGTCTGCTGAGAGGAAACGAGCGACCTTGTTACAGCGCAGCAAAAAAAACAACACATTTCAGACATAAGTGTAACAAATCTGAACACTGAGTCAGCATTCATGTATCTTTCTAAGATTTGTTGATTTTTCTGTGCCGCTCTTGGCGTTTATTTTTACGGACTTTGTTCATACGTCATAAAGTTCGGCTCATTCAGGAAATGGCTGCTCTGCTCTGGTTGTTGTAACTTTTATTCCAGAACAGTAGCCACAGCTACTGCAGACCAGCAGCTGAGGAACAACCAGCAATTAAAGTCAGTATGTCAATAAACCAAGTATTACAAGATCTGTTGGCTTTAAATTACTTTATTTTTACTGCATTTAATCATGAACACAACATAGAGAAGCCAGTGTAATAACAGTAGTGATAATAAAACAAAATGAACACATTATTCCTCCTGTTTAACACAAATAGTATTTTAACATCTCTAACAGTTTTTATTTTTACTTGTTTTTGTTTTATCTTTAACTGCAGGTAGTTTTAATGGTCTTGGGTGTTCATAGAAAGGGTTTTTACCAGCTTAAAGCCAAGACTGTGACGTTTCTGTAGACACCACACACAGCTATGTCGAGTAGCTCAAGTAGAAAACTGGAGGTTTTGGACCTAAGAGATTAATGAGCCAATTGATGGGCCAGACTTTGGTCGTCTCACTGGTCACATCTGGCCCACAGGCCGCCAGTTGAAGAGCTCTGTTTTATATCATTAAAACATTTAAAGTTTCTTCAAATACTTCAAAATTCTTCTTCCGCCAACGCTAAACATACTAATGTTAATTTGACAACACTAAGGCTAGCTCTGCTAATGTTAATGCTGCTAATGCTAAACATACTAATGTTAATTTGACAATGCTAAGGCTAGCTCTGCTAATGCTAATGCTGCTAATGCTAAACATACTAATGTTAATTTGACAACGCTAAGGCCAGCTCTGCTAATGCTAATGCTGCTAATGCTAAACATACTAATGTTAATTTGACAATGCTAAGGCCAGCTCTGCTAATGCTAATGCTGCTGATGCTAAACTTTCTAATGTTAATTTGACAATGCTAAGGCTAGCTCTGCTAATGCTAATGCTGCTAATGCTAAACTTTCTAATGTTAATTTGACAATGCTAAGGCTAGCTCTGCTAATGTTATTGCTAATGCTGCTAATGCTAAATCTGCTAATGTTAATTTAGGCTAGCTCTGCTAATGCTAATGCTGCTAATGCTAAACCTTCTAATGTTAATTTGACAACGCTAAGGCTAGCTCTGCCAATGCTAATACTTCTAATGCTAAACCTGCTAATGTTAATTTGACAATGCTAAGGCTAGCTCTGCTAATGCTAATACTTCTAATGCTAAACCTGCTAATGTTAATTTGACAATGCTAAGGCTAGCTCTGCTAATGCTAATACTTCTAACGCTAAACCTGCTAATGTTAATTTGACAATGCTAAGGCTACCTCTGCTAGTGCTAATACTTCTAACGC